GGGGCGGAGCAGGCGGGCTGCGCGGCGGAGGGCCAGGCTGACACCACCATCTGCTGGGCCAGAGGAAGAACAGCAGCTGCGCCTTGTTTCCCCGACTAGGAAAGCCTGAAAAAGGCTGAGGCCCTGGGCATCCTCGAGCCTGTTATCCCCAAGGTCCTGTCACCCGCGTCTCATCCCCGCAGGCGGCCTTTTGTGGTTCCCCCCTCCAAGGAGCCTGCAGTCTTTGGTTTGCCGCCAGCAACCCCGGCCCCTCTCACCCAAACACTATGCTTTTTCTTGAAAACACTTCAGGGAAATAAAGCTTCCCTATGCACAGATTTATAAATAAACAGCTGGCTGCTCTTGGGAGATATTTTTACCACAGCTGTTTTTTGAAGTCGAAAACTGCCTCTTTGGGGGAGTTAGGATGTTTTTTACAGCTCCTACCCTTCTCTCTAGCCTTTAGAAAACTGCTGAGATCTTTTCTCTAGAGGGGAAGATATGTTAAATAGTTTCATTGATTTTTATATTTTTTCCTCTCCCTTTATCTTACTGAAGAGTGAGAGGGGATGGAGAGTAATGATCTCTGTGTAGCCAGTTGGATTTCTGAGGGGAAGAGACTGTATTAAGATTCTTGGTAGAAGGCATGAAAGGTCGTTGGGCAGGGGGTGGAGTGGAGAACAAGCCAGTAATTAAAACTAAAAATACTGCATCATTTGGCTTCAAGGCATTACAGTTCGAGTGACAAAAGCTCAGACTGGTTTTCTCTAATTGCATAATACAGTGTGTGCCCTCCTTAGAAACAAGAGCGGTGGCTTGAAATGCTGAAATTTGACAGACTACTTCTCATTAAGCCCTCTTAGGCTGGAGGTTAAAAGGAGCCACGTAATGTGAAACAGTTAATAGCCTCAGCTAGCTTAATTTGTAAGGCAGGTCACTTGGTGCATCTTCACACTTTGGAATACACACCTAAGGCCGGCCTTGGGGAGGTGGAGGCAGGCCTTTCACCCTCTCTCAAATGCAGCCTTAAAGGTTTATCGACCTGGATTCGCTGGTGTTTAATATGGAAGGCAAGGTCCCTGGGTGGTACAAATGGTTTGCACTAACTGCAAACCTAAAGGTTGGCAGTTCGAACCTACCCATAGCGCCACAGAAGAAAGGCCTGGTGATCTGCTTCTGTAAAGATTACAGCCGGGAAAACCCTATGGGGCAGTTCTATTCTGTAACACATGAGGTCTCCATGAGCCGGAATCGACTCCATGGCAACAGGTTTGGGTTTTTTTTTTCTCATTTTTAATATGGGAGGCAACCCTTGGAAAATACGCATAACCCCTCCTGGCTCCAGATCTTTAAATGTCCAAGTTGAGAAACCTGGAGGCAAAACCTTTGGGGGGTCATTTGGAGAAATACATAATCTAAGAAGTAATAACCTGACTATCCCTTTGGGAATTTTCGTTCCCCCCACTGAGTTTTTGATGTATTCCTTTTGCTCCAGGAAGACAGGGTGGGAAAGCAACACTTCTCTGCTTACATTTCTTCTGGGCATGCTCCTCAGCTGTGCAGGGGGGTCACACAGGACAAGAATCTCTCAAAGTGTACAAAGATAAACTGGGCCAACACATACTAGCTTTCTCATAAAATCAAGCGGACCCAAACTTTACCTTCCTGTGGGTCTCTTTCTTTGCAGCTTTCTTCTCCTTTTCAAAACAGGAAAGTATCTGGTATCAAATATACTGATATATCAAATATACTGATATATACAGAAAAAAAATCTGTAATCTGTATTTTTCCTGATGGTTAACTACACTTGAGTGTGAATTAAAATGTTAAGTCAATAAGCCATTTTTCTCTAAAGGTGGCAAGAAACAGCTTTATCTCATTGGAAAGAAGGCGTTGCAAAACAGACAAGTATTAGAGTAGAGGGGAGGGAATACCCTAAAATATCTAGACCCTGCCTGAATCCATCAGAAAGTAAGCTTTCTGGTAGCATGAAGATTCCTGGCATTTTTGAGCATAAGGTCTTTTTATTAACGTCAAAAATATTTCATCGCTCTCTACCTAATAATTGTCTGTTTACAGAGAAAATGCAGACAGACAAAAACGGTTACATTAACTTTTATTAACTTCAGCAACAGCACTTATATACATTTGAAAAACGGAACAAAGTGGATTTATGGGAGACACACTATATGTCCCGTCTTCAGGCGATTCTTAGGTGCACGTTTGGCGTCATGGCCCCGTAGCCTGGGAATGGCCTGTGCTAGTGGAAGGATCACTGAATTTAAAATCAAGTTCAGTGTTCTGTTTCTGGTTCTTCTATTTACTAGCGGTGTGACCTGGGCTACTGAACTGGCTAAACTTGTGCTATTGTTTCCGGGGTGAGAGGAGTGGTGGATTTTGTTTCATTTTCAATTTTTGGTTTGTTTGCTTGCTCGTTTTGTTTTGTTTTGTTTGGGTGGATGGAGGGAGGGAGGGAAGAAGAGCAACTGAAGGTGCTGTTTAGGCATCTCACAGATGGAAAGAAAAGCATGAATGGCTTGTTGTGTGCGGTCGAGTGGATTCCAACTCATAGCGACCCCATGTGAGGGAGTAGAACTGCCCCATAGGGGTTTCTAGGCTGTAATCTTTATGGGAACAGATCACCGGGTCTTTTGGTTAGCAGCCAAGCCACGAGGCAAACAGTCCTGAATTCAACTCCCTACAGCTTGGGCTTGCTGCCATCCCTTTCCTCTGTTGCCCAGTGCTGAGCCGCTCGTAAGGAGCCCTGGTGGTTGAAACTTTAATGAATTAGAAGGAACATTGCTGTGGGATGTTCAGACAGTATTTGCCATTGCCAGGTGTGGTTGGCAGAATGAACAGGAAAGGAAGTGTCTCTCCACTCCTAGAAACTGAATCTGAAGGTCACACTCTTAACCCTTCTCATCAGGAATTTTTCCCTAACAGTCTACACCATCTGGCTGTCACAGACTTCCCTTCAAGCACGATCTCCAAGTAGTGACTTGGGCTGTGTGTGATGAAGTCCTTAACCACTTTACCTCCTGTTCCCTAAGGACTAGTCCTTAAAAATTGTCATCATTCGACTGACTGACACATAATTATAGAATCAAGAGACTTAGTCCAACCACCCGCATTAAAATTACCCCAGACATATAAGAGGCAATCCCATTTTTAAAGACGTTGAGAGATTGCATAGCTTTGGTCAGTGTACCCTATTCCCAACTCTCACCATCAACAACTCTTACTATCAGGAATATATATATATGTATATGTGTATGTATGTATATGTATACATATATGTGTAGGTATGTATATGTAGCAAAGCTCTCAAATGTTGCAATCAATTAGAAACCATCAAATATCACATCTGTTGATTAATAAATTCCAGCAGTCTTCTGTAAATGTTTCTCCTACTTGCTAATAAGAAGTCCATTCTGACCAGGTAGACAGTAAGAACTAACAGGTAAGGTCAGGATGTCTACATTCCAGACTTAAGGTGAGCCTTCCTTTGGAGGAACACAGAATGTTGGTTGAAAACCCTGTCCTCAGCTATTACTCAGTCCCAACTCCCATCTGAACCACACTGGACTTGATCTCAGATTTCCCAGAGCCATGCTGTATTACTGTCTTCCAGTAACCTCTTTAGTTCCACTGTGGAACAGCCAGGTGTGAGGACTAACTGGCTTGTTCTTAAGGAAATGTAATGTGTGCCACTCAGGACGCTTGAGGTCCCCAAGCCAGAGCATTTTCCCCATCTCCCTGCTCCCATGCTTTCCCTTCAAATGGCAATGAGACTCCATGCGGACTCCCTGCATCTCTCTCTTCCTGCCCTCCCAGGAGCAGCACCCAGTCGGGCTTCCCAGGACCACAGGCCCCCTGCAGTCCTCGGTGCCCCCAGGCTCGGGCGGCATGGTCTCCGGAGCCAGTTCCGCGGGTCCTGGCTTCCTGGGCAGCCAGCCGCAGGCAGCCATCATGAAGCAGATGCTCATCGATCAGCGGGCCCAGCTGATGGAGCAGCAGAAGCAGCAATTCCTGCGGGAGCAAAGGCAGCAACAGCAGCAACAGCAGATTCTGGCCGAGCAGGTAACACGCACCCATGGAGTGATGCATCCGTTCAGCAAGCATTTATTCAGTGCCTGCTGTTGGGGAGGGTCACAGTTCTTGTCCTTCATCAAGATGCTAACAGTCTAGCATTACGCAGGATCACAGAAGAACCTGCAGAATTTAGCCCTTTTTCAGTTAGTTAGGCTTTTTCCTACAGGGCTTCCAGTTGGTTCACTCCAGCCCCAATCCCTACTGAGAATTTGCATGTCCACCATAGATATACTGAATCACAGTCTGCATTTTGACAAGATCCCCAGGTGATTATTATGTGTGATAAATCTTGAGAACCGCTGCTCTACTAGTGGTTCTCAGAATTGGTCCCTAACTAGCAGCATTAGCATGGCCTGGGAACTTGTTAGAAATGCAAATTCTTAGCAGGGGCGCAAACCAGACCAAACCGGGTTCGAAGCCCTGTTTTCCTATAATGAATTGCTTGTTAAAAGAGAGGCTTCAGCTATCAGTTTGAAGGTCCATTTACTAGACACGTTTTTTTTTTTACTGAAGCCTGACTCGTTTTCTTCTAGTTTCTGATACAGGACTCTGTGTAACCACCATGTGGAGGGGCGGCAGGGGGTGAGGGTGGGTACTGACTCACATTCTTCAGAAGCCCTCATATCTCTAGAATGAAGAAAAAAGAAAATAATTCAGAGAACTTTGTTTCTTGGAAGGAAGTAGTGGGAGGAGGGATTGAGGAGAATTCTGTCAAATTGATCATGAACAATGGAAGGTGAACAATAGCAGAATAATAGGGCCAGCAGAACTACCTGGAAACCTGGACTAAGGTCACAGAAAGGGTACAAACTTAAGAAAATTCCCAGGAGTGTTTAAAATGGCTCAGGAAATCTTTGAATTAAAAGGAAGGTCTAACACAAATAAAGCTTTAGCTTAGGCGTCTTTGTCCACCCTGGCCATATAATTCCTCCAGCTTTGAAAGAAAGCCTTCCCTGTGGACTGTTCCTGTAGGTTTCAATTTGTTTTGTTTTTAGAGACACCCATGCTTGATTTAGTATTATCCCAGGGAAAGCCTCCAGGCCTTCTATAAGTGATCCCTGGGTGGCTCCTGGGGAGGCCTGCACAGGGCACCTCCCACATCAGGCTCTTATTATAGGAGATGGGGCGTTGTCATATAAGGCTCAAGGCCCAACATATCTCTGGCCCACGATTACCCTTCTAGAGTGTTTCTTATGGGATCAGAGTTTTGGACATTTATCAAGCATCCACATATATGCAAGATACTGTGTAGAGCACAAACATGTTGAGGTCTTTACTAACCAAAAGCTACATTTCAAAGCAACACCAGTCACTCCCCAAACAGAAAAATTGCACCATTGAACACAGTTCACTTATGTTCGTTTTTTTTTTTGTTCCAGTACTGCTGTGTAATTATCTCCCTTTTTACCAAGGTCAGTCAGCCACCTGGGAGCTATTGTACAAACAAACCTCTGTCCCTCTCACCCTGCGTGAGGTGTGTGACAAGAAACCATGCTAATCTCTCTGAGGCAGTGATAAATGGAGCTGCTTAGGGGAAGCTGGGCTTTGTAAATCCTCTTCTCAGCCAATCCCAGGGAATTTCAGGTGTGCCCAAAGTTTTGAGCAATGACTTTTGATACATGTGCTGTGGCCGAGGCACAGAGGAGATCGAGGGTAACCAGGCAGAACTCAGTTGTGCCAGCACAGGGGTGTTCCCACTCAGCGAGATCAGCCAGACCCGGGACTGGAGGAGAGAAAAGAGTGTGAGAAGCAGAGATGCAGCCAAATGATACAGACTAGAAAATGAGAGATAGGAGCACCCTCAGAATCCAGGAAACAGGGAGATATAGCACAGCCTCCTTGGAAAAGATGAGGAAATGGGAAGGTGTGACCTGAGTAGAATTCCTTAACAACTGAGTGCATCAGGAGATAATGAGGGACCGAGGAAAGATGTGTGTGAAATTCTTTAGAAACTGTATACCTCACACAAATGTGTATGGAGATCTGCACAGGACTCTGGTGCTGGAGAATAATAATGTAAGAGCTGTAGCCACATGTGCCAGCCATCTGAATTGAAACAGATTCTGTGTTTAAAAAGCTCTAGTCAATGTATTACATGCATCTTACCTGCATCTGGAGAGACAGTGCTCATTTATGCAGGCTGTCTGGGGGTGTGGAGTCCCTCGGTGGTGTACATGGTTAAGACACTTGGCTGCTGACCAAAAGGTTGAAGGTTTGAATCCACCCAAAGACACCTCAGAAGAGAGGCCTGCAGATCTACTTCTGAAAAATCTGCCAGGGAAAACCCTGTTCTACTCTGACACACATGGGGTCGCCATGAGTCAGAATCGACTCCACAGCAGCTGGTTATCCTAGGGGTCTACCCGTGGTAGGCCCTCAACTCTTTGCTTTGAGAATGGATATTGCCACATCAATCCCAAGCTGATTTTTCTTGGTCTCCACGGCACTGAAAGTGTCCTAATTAACTCATATTGGAAACAAAGGATTTAAACCACTCAGGTTTCCTGAGGGAAAACAGGAGGATTGGGGATCCTGCATATCTTTGGGAACTTTAAAATGGTTCTCAGTGGACTTGGAAATCAGAGCAGGGCAGGTTGAAAGTAGTCCTGAATTAACATTTAATGCATTACTCTGCAAGAGTTCGGAACATGTCACCTCTCATCCATTGGCAAAAGTTCAACAGAACTTAGAATTTTGGATCTGAAAGAAACATTAGATATTGTGAAGTCCCGTCATTTCCTGCATGAGGAAACAGCTTATGTGTGTGATTTTCCTGAGATCACAGAGCTAGAGAGGCAGGGTCAGGACTGGAACCCAGGCCTCCTGGCTCCTGCTTCAGGTCTGGCTGCATCCCAGCCTACCACAGGCTACCCTAGGGTTGTTCCTCGTTGTAAGGGGGACAATTAATTTTCTTGTTTAGTATGAGAAGTTTGGCTGAGGAGAGGCTTTTAAATGTTCAACTTACTCTCAATAATACCTTTATTGCTGCCTGAAAGATTAGCGTGGTTTTTCTACACTTAATGTCATTAATTAATCAGGTTCAACAGTTTTGTGCCTTGTCTAGGGAAAAAAAAAAAAAAGGAAAGAAAATCACAGGGCTGCCCAGGAACAAAAACAAAAGAAAAAATAGAAATAATCACATGCGTTAAGAAGTGGTCAGTGTGTGTTATTTTTACAATGAACACTCTTAAGAGCAGCGACCTTGTTGTTAAGTCTCTGTAGCCCTTGCAGATGAAAGGTGCTTAATGAATATTCAGCAGCAGCGGGAAGGAGGTTAAATGACCTGCGGAAGGTCACGCAGCTACTTGACAGGCAGACCTAGAACTAAAAGCCCCTTTTCTCTGCACTTTCCACCTCGCTCCTATTTTCTCTCCCTTTTCACATGCAGCATGATAATGATCATAATAGCTTCTCCAGGATATTGGTAACAGTGATAGCAGTGTAGAATCTCCATGAGTGGGAGAAGAGAGACTCAAATGCAGGCCTCCTGGTTCCTGGTACATGCGGAGTCCCACACGTTTTCCTCAAGGCAGCAAATGCTGTTATGTTTTGCTCGTAGAGATGTATTTTACAGGCAGTGTGGCCTCATGGGAATAAGATCCTGTTTTACAGCCCTAGAAAATCCAGTCTTCCTCTGCCCGAAGCATCTATTTAGGTCATTAACAATTAGTTGCTTTTCCCGTTGAGCGAGGACCTCACAATGCTAAGGAGACCTGCAGACCTCCCTCCGTCAGCGTTCCTTAGGACACGTCAGAGTGCGTATGTATGTTCACCAAAGGCACGTACAGGAAGGGGCAGAGCAGCAGTACTCGGGACAGCCCCAAACCAGAAGCACTCTAAATGACTGTCACCGGTAGAATGGCTAGATACGTGGTGGTATATTCATACAATAGAATGTTGTTCAACAATGAGAATGAACAAACCACATGCGTTAACACGGATGAATCTCACAAATACAATGATGAAGGCAAGGGGCCAGACACGAAGGATTTATTTCCATATAACTAATCTGTTACTGATGTTAAGTGCCAGTCAAGTCGATTTTCAACTCATAGTGACCCCATGTGACAGAGGAGAACTGCCCCATAGGGTTTCCTAGACTGTCTTTATGGAAGCAGATCACCAGGTTTTTCTCCCACGGAGCCACTGGGTGGATTCGAACTGCCAGCCTTACAGTCAGCAGCCAAGCCATTAGCCATTTTGTTACCAGGGCTCTTTATAACTAATCCGTGTTGCTAAAAGTGAGTATAGTTGTTTGCCTGGGTCGGAGGGAGGGTACTGGCTGGAAATGGACATGAGTGGCTTCGGGCAATGTTCTTTTTCTTGATCTGGGTATTGGGTGCTGGAGTGTGTTCATTTTGTGAAAATCCATCAAACTGTACATTTAGGATTTGTGCGCTTATCTGTATGCTTGTCATTCTTCAGTGAAACATTCCCCTAAAAAAGCAAACTCTGCCTTCCTGAGAACTGCCAGGCTATTTAACTGCATGCTCTCTCCCCGTGCCGCTTCTTCCTGCCCCCTCCTTTCCCCTGTTGTTCCAGCAGCTGCAGCAGTCACACTTACCTCGGCAGCACCTCCAACAACAGCGGAACCCGTACCCAGTGCAGCAAATCAATCAGTTTCAAGGTGAGACCAGAGCACACCTCTTCCATTTTATACTTACCAGTTGTAAATTATAAGTGAATGTGTAGCTGGTGTTTATGCCCAGGTAATAATCAAAATATTTAACAACTGGTAGGGTAAGGGTACACACCAAGCGGATGGATTCCTGGAGGCCTCCTCCTGTGCCAGGCATTAACCTTTTGGTTTCTGGATCCTGAAGAGGTCCTGGGGGGCCCAGGGGAGGGATCAGGGTGGCCGTGAAGAGGGGGACTCTCAGGGACTGGGGCACTGCTCTTCAACTATACCAGAAAACCAAACCCGTTGCCGTTGAGTCGATTCCAACTCATAGGGACTCTATGGGACAGAGTAGAACTGCCCTATAGGGTTTCCAAGGAGTGCCTGGTGGGTTCAAACTGCCGACCTTTCGGTTGGCAATCAAGCTCTTAACCGCTACACCACCAGGGTTTCCACCCTTTAACCATGGTACAGAAATATTTTGATAGTTTAGCAAGCAATAAGGACATACTGGAGCCCTGGTGGTACAGCGGTTAAGAGCTTGGTTGCCAACCAGAAGGTTGGCAGTTAGAATCCACCAGCTGCTCCTGGGAAACCCAATGGGGCAGTTCTACTCTGTTCCGTAGGGTCGCTATGAGTCAGAATTGACTCAACAGCAATGGGTCTGGTCTGGTCTTAAGGACATACTGTTGGCCCATTATCAGCCTTGTTGATGTCTAGATCATCATCTTAATGACCACAGGGGAAATCCTAAGCCTCAACTTTCTTGCTAATCTTATCAGGTCAGCTGGCCAAAGCCCTGGCTTCTAACAACCAAAGTGGAAGAATCTGGCTTACAGCAACCACTAGTCTTCTGCTGAATACAGAAGAGAAACAGGGCCTTGAGGCCACTTACACTCTCTTGATCCTGCTGCCTTTTGGGGAAGTCCTGAATCATGACCCCAGTAGCAATGGGTGTGCTGTGGGCCTACAGTGCTTCCATTCCTTTGTAAATGTGGAAGAGCCACTCAAATCTCAAACCCTCCCATCTCCAATGGATAGAGCCCTTGAGGGTCTTATATGGGGTGGAGGATGACTTGAGGACCCTTCCCAATCTCATCCACAGGAGTTTTCAGCCCTGGTGGTGTAGTGGTTAGGTGCTCACCTGCTAACCAAAAGGTTGGCGATTCGAACCCACTAGCTGCTCTGCGGGAGAAATGACGTGGCTATCTGCTCCCGTAAAGATTTTTAAAAAAACACCAAAGCCATTGCTGTCGATTCTGACTCATAGTGACCCTACAGGACAGAGTAGAACTGCCCCATAAGATTTCCAAGGCTGTAAATCTTTACGGAAGCAGACTACCGCATCTTTCTTCCACCTAGGAAACCCTACGGAGCAGTTCCACTCTGTCACATGGGGTAGCTATCGACTCGACAGCACACAGCAACAGGCAACAGAAATCCTAATTCCCATTCTCTACCTTTCTTGTTGGACCTAGAGCAATGTGTCCTAACTCCTCAAGTATTACTGATGCCTTTAAGAATCTGCCAGAACACCCTACTAACTCAGAACTGAAGCCACTCCCAGAGTCCACCTTTCAGCCAAAGATTAGACAAGCTTATAAAACAAACAATAACACGCAATGAGGAACGTGCTTCTTAGTTCAATCAAGTATACAAGACCAAATGGGCAACACTTGCCCAAAAGCAAAGTTGAGAAGGCAAGAAGGGACAGGAACACTGGACGAATGGCAACAGGGAACCCCAGGTATAAAGGGAAAGGGGGAGAGTGCTGACACAATGCGAGGATCGCAACCAGTGTCACAAAACAATTTATAAATTTTTGAATGAGAAACTAATTTATGTTGTACACTTTTACCTGAAGTACAATAAGATTAAAAAAAAAAATAACTGGCAGCAACAACAACAAAAAAAGAATCTGCCAGAAGCTGTGAAACCCTGTCTGCAGAAATGTGTTCATGTAAATATTTACAAACTTTATGTATTGTGTCACAAAGGTTACAGACCCCCCCCCCGAACCTTATTAATAGACTGGGTGAAAACAGTGGTGTCACTAGGAGAGTGGGGGGGTGCGGACCACACCAGGTGCCACTGTCAGAGGCAGTGACACCAAAATGACTGCCTATAAAATTTTCGTGCAGTTTCAGCAGAAATTTATTATTTGTTATAAAAGTATCCCTGTAGTTAGTTATAACAACAAAAACATTTTTTGTAAACCCAGCTTACATGTATCAATATACCTACAAGCCTAAAGCTCTATGCTGATTTACTTTTTGACCCTTCTAATGCCTTTCAGTCAGAGCTGTCATCATTACCCAATTACAGTGATGCTTCGAATCATGTGGTTTTGTCTGCACACGCTACAACACACTACAAGGATGCACTGGTGGCTTTCATTGCTGCCAGTATTTTTACAGTCACTGATTTTGTCAAATTTTCTAGTGTTTTAGCTACAGTATTGCAGTAATTAGTATTTGTGAATCTATATCGATAACCTTTTTGAGAAATAAGTAGTAGTTAAAGGAAAAGAAGGAGTGATATACAGGAATTACGATTTACAAGTAACATTAGTACAAAAAACATTACTAAGGATTCTGTATGGTCTGGTATGGGAGGAGGTCCATGGGGGAGGTGACACCATGAGTTACCACACTGGGTGACACCACTGGATGAAAAATTCCTGATATAGGGTAACCCAAAAGCCCATTGCCGTCAAGTCGATTCCAACTTATAACAACCCTATAAAATAGAGTAGAACTGTCCCATAGGGTTTCCAAGGAGCATCTGGTGGAGTTGAACTGCTAACCTTTTGGTTACCAGCTGAGCTCTTAACCACAGCACCACCAGAGCTCCTCTGATATAGGGTAGCATTTATTAAACTTTGGTTTGCAACACATTAGTAGGTTGTGAAAACAATTTAATGGGTCACAACCAACATTTTTTAAATGATACAGAATAGAAAAGAAATTATCAAATTGTATCATAGTAAGGGAATCTTTTGATTCTGGTATAAACCCGGGTGCAGATACTGGCTCACAATGCAAAACATATTTCGTACTGTGGATTGTGGCTTAAAGAGTCTGAACCTCACTGATGTCTACTGCTGAACCTCGCTGAAGAGTGCCTGTGAGGCAGCTAGAGCTGAGGAGCTACTGCTCCTTCCACCATGGGACTGTGTTCACTTTGTATCACTCTGACGCCTTTGGATTTGACACAAGGAAGGACAAAAGGAATTGAACTATCCTCAGGTATTCTAGACACTAAATCTGTTCCAGTATTCTTTGAGGAATTATGTTTCTCATTTTGTCGTGGTGGGGAAGAGTAGGGAAGAGCTGTTTTTACACATGTAGTTTTTGTTACAGATATAGCCCCCTTCCTGTACACCTGTAGTTCTCAAACTTCAGCCTGCATCAGAATCACTGCGGAGCTTCTTAAAACACAGATGCCTGGGGCCCCATCTCAGAGTTTTTCTGATTGAGTGGGTCTGACATGGGGCCTGAGAATTTGCATTTCTAACAAGTTCCCAGGTGTTGCTGATGTTGCTGGTCAGGGGACAATGCTTTAGGAACATAAAAATCTGATAAACCTGGCATAGCATCCTTTGAGTTTTCTAGGTTCATAACATTATTATTATTATTATTATTGGAATAAAGGGATCAAACAAAATTTAATCATTTCTCTGCAGTACAGAATATAGACATATTTTTGTATATGCTATTCTGAGTGCTTTGGGTCCAGTTTAAAAGCTTTACTCCTTGAACTTTTGTAAAACCTCGAATCACAGGTAATCAACCTAAAATTTTAGCTACACCTAAGCTTTAGCCTACGACTAGTGACATTTAGGATCCCTCAGCTGATTAATTTGAAATAGGATCATTTTTTTCTGTCTTCAATATTCTTACCTATTTTACTGACACCCTCGATATCATGGCAGTGTACATCTGGGAAAATAGCAAATTGGTAGATAAAAAATACTGCCCTTGGAGAGCAGTTCTGAGAGGAATAACTTGCATGCCGTTCCTACCCCATCTCCTTACCACTACACATTTCAAAGGTCTTAATAACTATCTTTATCTCCTTGCGTTCTGTGCCTCTGGGCATTGTTACATGCCCATGGGGAAATGTTTATTTTTCACAAATATAAACTTCTTCTGAGTGAAAATAGTACATAGGCTCTTCTAGGAAAAAAAAATTGCATATTATCATTTCATTGTGAATATGGAAGATTTTCTTTGACATTGTGATATTAACCAGACAAGAAAATTAATTTGACTACAGGGTCACACAATAATATCGGTGTTAGCAAAAATAAAGGAAAAGTAGTAGTAGTCTGTTGTTTAACGTATGCATAGTAGTCAGATAAAGACTGAAGTTAGTTCTTTGGGTGCATATAAGTTTTTTTCCTTTGTATATTTAAAATTACTAAAGGCATAAAACCAGATTAATGAAAGGCTTGTGTTTCTCAAGTTAAAATATAATCACTGATTTCTGATTTTTTTAAATGCCTTTTTTTCATAAAATTACATCTAGATAGTACAATCATTTACACTAAGTAAAAATAAAGGTAAGCTTGGATGAATGTTGCAATACCTGTTAAAGGGCATTGCAGCATTTCTGTCCTCTGAAGAAAGGCCCCTATTTCTCACACACAGAATTAGTCCAGACAATATCCAGTCCCGCTCCTTCAACATATCCGTTATAAACGTGCAACAAAAATGTACAAATTATGAAAGTTCCTTCATCTATTTCCAGAAGCCCAGTAGCCTGTTTGTGTAATTTGGATCTATCCAGTCAATCTCTGAGTCAGCAATATTTTAACATTTTTTTATAAACAACTCAATAACCCATTTCACCACAGTTAATCAGATTGGCCACACAGTCAATATAAATTTAGTCACTAAGGTCTCAAAACTTCATAACAGGATTGCAAGTTGTAGTATAAACTACCATCCGCTGTTTAACCAGGAACCTTTGGTTTTTTTAAAAAACTCACTTAGACATAATTAAGCTTAAAACAAAACACTGAAACATTTCTAAGGATACTCTTCCTTATGCCTTTCAAGTTTCCCCATGGTAACCATTTCATTTTCTTTCCAATGTGGCATGATATTGATCTCAAGCCACAAAAACTGAAGTCATAATCAAAATTCCCGTAATTCTCTTCCTTAAAGAAAGAAAATATAGAGACATATTTGCTGCCCAGAAATCAATAACCCCATCAGGAAGACAAAAACATGCCTCAGTTATCTGCTGAGGTGCCAGGTTTAACAAGGTTAGACTCTACTCATCTCGTTTCTCATCACACTTCCAAGGTGGGATAAAAGTTGCTTATAACATCGATTGGCTCCCATGCTGCATCTTCTCTAAATGTCCAGGAAAAACTATTTTTCTTTTTCTCATAGACTTAATCATTAGCAGGGACACAGAAAAATCCATTTGTGTGCACCTCCTAGGCCTTTACAACATTGACTGGTCTTCTAAAGGTGACATTTCCCGTCTCCCGGCGGGTTTGGAAATTTCCTGAAAACATGTAAAGAGGGACTCACTCAAATGCCTAATTAGGGTCGAGTGACTTGGCATTGATATTTTGGCCAGTTCTTCAACAGCATCATTAAAACTGCGTTAGCGATCTGCCAAGAGAGAAGTCATTGCTGATTTGAAGTTGTGGACTTTGCTGGATAGATGCATAAAGTTCATTGCCAAGCAGCAAATAGCAGGATGATTTCTTTTTCTTGCTCAGAAAGTTGGCCAGTTGGCGCTAACATGTTAAGAAGCCGAGAATCTGGAGCATGTGGAAGTCTACAGAGTGGATCCAAAAAATTTCCCATCTGTTGAAACAGCTTCTTAGCAGAAGCAATGGCCTTTAACCTCTCAAATCCTACTCAAGTCTTAGGGGAAATTAATCTAACGGCTTTTGTTGATAGTACTCTCCACTGAACCATGTTCCATTTCACAAATAGAATATGCAAAGTGATCAGTCGTTTCTTCCTAAATTAGCCCAGGAGGCGAATTACCTTTCACCTCTGAGGAAAATGGTATTAGTTGAGGATGGCTTCCTATCCAGAAGAGTAAGAGACAAGTTGTTTCTGAAATAATAACTAACTAACATATTATTAGAGTATATTAAGTGGAAAAATAAACTACGAAAACGTGTACAGTATGACCCCAATTTTTGTGTGAATTTATTTGTATATACATAAAAGGTTAGCAGTGGTCATCTCTGGCTGTAGGAACTCAGGTGATTTTAATTTTCATCTTTGTGCTTGTCAATATTTTCCCATTTTTCCACAGTCAGCATATATTATAATCATAAAAAACAAAAACAAAAAACCCATTGCCATCAAGTCAATTTTGGCTGATAGTGACCCTATGGGACGGAGTAGAACTGCCCCACAGGGTTTCCAAAGCTGTAAATCTTTATGGAAGAAGACTGCCACATCTTTCTCCGGCAGAGCAGCTGCTGGGTTCAAACTGCTGACCTTGTGATTAGCAGCTGAGTGCTTAACCACTGCCCCACGAGGGCTCCTTTTAAAATATTAATAGTTTTTATTAAAGATTTATTATTAGAGTAGATCTTTTCTTACAAAGGGATTTTGTCATTAACAGCTTATTACACTGTTACTTATCGAGAAGACTGAGCGTTGTGTACTTTTTTCCCTATAGGTTCTCCCCAGGACTTAGCAGCCGTGAGAAGCCAAGCAGCCCTCCAGAGCATGCGGACAACACGGTTGATGGCACAGAACGCAGGCATGATGGGAATGGGACCCTCCCAGAACCCGGGGACAATGGCCGCAGCAGCAGCCCAGTCAGAGATGGGACTGGCCCCTTATAGCACCACGCCTACCAGCCAACCGGGAATGTACAATATGAGCACAGGAATGACCCAAATGTTGCAGCACCCAAACCAAAGTGGCATGAGCATCACACATAACCAAGCCCAGGGGCCGAGGCAGCCTGCCTCTGGGCAAGGGGTTGGAATGGTGAGTGGTTTTAGTCAGAGCATGCTGGTGAACTCGGGCATTACCCAGCAGCACCAGCAGATAAAAGGGCCTGTAGGCCAAGCCTTGACAAGGCCCCAAGCCCCTCCAAGGCTTCAGAGCATTATGGGAACGGTCCAGCAAGGAGCACAGAGCTGGCCACAGAGGAGCTTACAGGCGATGCCTGGGAGGACTAGTGGAGAATTGGGACCATTCAACAATGGCTCCGGCTACCCACTTCAAGCTGGGCAGCCAAGACTGACCAAGCAACACTTCCCACAGGGACTGAGCCAGTCGGTTGTGGACACCAACACTGGCGCAGTGAGAACCCTCAACCCAGCTGCCATGGGTCGGCAGATGATGCCGTCGCTCCCGGGGCAGCAAGGCACCGGCCAGGCCAGGCCAATGGTCATGTCTGGCCTAAGCCAGGGTGTCCCTGGCATGCCGGGGTTCAGCCAGCCCCCAGCCCAGCAGCCGATGCCCGGTGGCAGCTTCGCTCCAAGCAGCCAGAGCCAAGCCTATGACCGGAACCCCCCTCAGGACATGTCGTACAATTACAGTGGCGAAGGAGCCGGGGCTTCCTTCCCTGGCCTGCCGGACAGTGCAGACCTTGTGGACTCCATCATCAAGGGTGGGCCAGGGGATGAGTGGATGCAGGAGCTTGATGAATTGTTTGGAAACCCCTAGTCGGGGGGGAGGCGGGGGTCAGGAGCCACAGCTCTAGTGGTTAAAGTTTTGAAAAGTGAAAAAGAAACAGGATGTTGACCCATCCTTGTTTTTTGTTTTTTTAACCCACGTAAACTGAGCAAAACTGCAAGTGGCTGACAGGGGAAGATCCAGGTGGCAATTTACAGCCCCAGAGGGCCGGATTTTCACACTGCAGTCAAGACACCATGCAGATCTCAGCTGCTAGAGAGGGAGGCGCACCAGGGGGCAGGTGGGGAGACTGAGCCCAGCCCCCCTGCTCAGCCCTCACTGGGATCACCCGGCCCAGCAATTGCTGCTCAAGCCAAGAGGGACTGTCGTCCAAGGTGAGGCATCCATCAGCCCCTCCTGCCCCAGGCCCGGAGGCTGCAGCTTTGGAGACACAAAAAAGACAGAGCCTCGAGCCAGAGAAGTACCCACAGAAGCTTCTGGGTGATTGCACAGGCCAAGTGCACAGATCAGAAATACGCTGGACTTGGTGGAAAGAGATGTAAGGCTTCTGGACAGGCTACTGTATCTGGAAAGTAGGCAAGAACAGTGCTATCATCACAGGGAGAGGACAAAGAATTCTGTCAGCCTTTCTGGCTCCGGCCCCAGGATGACCCTCAGGAATGTTAGAGGCATTGCTGCCAGCTGCCTCATGAAGATAGCCAGCTGAGCTTGAGGGAGTGTCCATCCACAGTCCTGATGGGGCAGCCCTATGATGGTGACAAGTTGTGGCCATCACTCCGGGTAGATGGGCTGGAGCCTCCTCAGGTCTGGTACAATAACACCGACACGCCTAGGCCGTTGGCGCCTTCTGGCAGCCGCAGGGTGGAGAGCACTGTTGGACTCCGTGTCGGGGCCACCCAGCACCTCTCTCCCCACCCCTGCCCTTGTTCCCCCTTACAGACTATCCAAGAAGAAATGGAGCTTTTGTCTTTAGGGAGCCTGGACTGAGTCCAAATAAATGAAAGAAGAATTTAGACAATGCCTGAACCGCAAAGGAGACACTGGAGTTTTCTTTCTCTAAAATGCGTAGAGTTGAGTGAATATTCTCTGCCTGGAACTGAGAGGGCTGCTCTGAGGTCTGGGGGTGGGTGTAGGGAGCCACATCGGATGCTTCACATACACCTAGAGAGGAATGGCCTGGCAGTCGGCCAGTCTCACTCCCTTTGGGAAAATCCCAGGGTGAGTCTCTGAAATCGGCCTTTTGTTTATCATAATCTCTACTCACCTAAAAGACAGGAGTGAAAAAAATCCATTGCTACACCTTGCAAATTTGGATTATAAAAGGGAAGGATACGGTTCCTGTCATTTGGACAAAGTAACCCACTTCCAAGTTCTTTACAGTTCTCTGTAATTCACTCAAATCGGCCCTAGGTGAAGTCTGTCAGGAGTCGTCCACAGTGCCCCCTACCGTAGACTTGTTTCTTCAGTTCCTTCCTCCCCTCCCGCTGCCCCATTTTGGAGGCCACGTGGTGTAATTATTTTCATAAGTGAGTGTGACGTGTCCTTTACCCTGTCACCCTCCCTCGGTGTCCCAAATGCTTGTTCCCTTCTGTGCACTCCCAGGCCACCCACCACGCCACAGCCAGAGCCCCTGGCCTGGACTGGCTTGTCCCGGGGGAAACTGCAAAGAAGGCAAGATTGAAGGCCGGGGCAGAGGGGCCGTAGAGAGGAGGCAGGCGGGCCGACCTTGCCCTTGACTTGCTGTCTGTATACCCGGGTTCAGACATCTGCTCAGTAACGGGCAGGATGCAAGGCCAGAGGTGCGGGCTGGCGAGAGCCCGGGCAGGGTGACCGTGAACTCCCTGAGTGGTGAGGAACGCCACTTGGGAAACTGAGTGGAAACAGATGAAAACCAAAAAAAAGTGAAAATTTTAAACGTAAACAAGAGGACACAGAATACATAATTACCTTTTTCAGAAAGATACGGGAAATAAATATCTAAGCAACGATGAGAAACAGGAGATGGCTGAAGGAGAAAGGGAGGCTCCCATGACCTTGAAAAGCTTCCTCCAAATGCTCAGTCCTGGGACCAACTAATAGAGACGTAGATTTTCCTAAGGTGGTTTTGTTTCGTTTTGGTTTTTACTACGGTGCTGATGTATATGTAATGTCTAAAAAAAAGGTTATTTGTAAATAAGTTTTTACAATACTGCAGATATCACTGGGTCTACTATCTGTAAAAAAATATATACATATAAATATATATATACTGTTTGTTTAAAAGAGTATTTTTATTTCATTCCTTAACTCATCATCACAGCAGTGGTATTGCACTTCAGATGACATCTAATTACTAATTTGTACTGTATGAGCTGATGCCAACTTGCTCCATTTTATTCAGATTTTTCTAGTTTTCTGTTTTTACTTTGTACATTGAGCATTGCTTATTTCCTTTTAAGAGATGTACAGAACTCTGAAATGTAGAAATGAAGTGATGTTGACATACCACTTTTAAAGAAAAGAAAAAAGCAAATAAAAGATCATTATCTGAATCAATCCAAAGTATAGGATCGTCACTGGATCTACAACCTTTAATTAAGCAGATATGGTATTCCTGGGTTTTAGCTGAGGAACTGTGTTTTTTCCCTCAAGATTTTGATATCATTATTAAAACATTTATTTAACAGTAGGCATCAATCATTCCCAGCCTTTTTAATTCATCGGCACAACTAAAACTCTCTAAATTGGCCACAGTGCTCTGAGAGATGTGGCAAAAGGAAAGGAGGAAAATCAAGTTTGAAAAACCAAAAAACCAAACCGTTGCTGTCGAGCTGATTCCAACTCATGATGACCTCATGTGCTACAGAGTAGAACTGAGTTCCATAGGGTTTTCTTGGCTGTAATCTTTATGGAAGCAGATCACCAGGACTTTCCTCCTCAGCACCACTGGGTGGGTACAAACTGCCAACTTTTCCATTAGCCCAGCACAAACCATCTGCGCCACCCAGAGGCCTTTCAGCTTTGAAAGGAACATCCTTAAGTCCATTTGCAGATTCAGTACAATCACATTTTAATTTCTAACTCATTCATTCACAGGACTTGGAAAATTGACAGGAAAGTCTTTATGTAAAAATAGGGGGAGGGGGAATCATGGAATATATCAGGAAAAAGTCATAAAAGGGCCTGGCCCCACTGTAGTGGACGCTGTCAGTAAACCCATCTCGCCTTCATGGGCACTGCTTCTGGCAGCCCACACTGCAGCTCTCTTTGGAGCGCTGCCTGGGGGCCACTGGCCACTTTTGGCTGCACCATCCACAGAGAGTTGAAAGAACTCAGAAGTTCACAGCCCTCCAGGTTGACTTTAGGCGATAACTCACTGGTGGGGACTGTGGAAGCTCGGGCAACTTGCCTGGACAAACTGGGAGATGTGATCTATACTCCAGAGCTCCCCTGCAGGATCAGGCAAAGACTGGGGCTTGGCTTGAAGCTGCCCCCTTGCTTGGCTGCTTTCCCCTTCTCTGTCCTATTTCCCCCACTCCCTTTCCATTTTCTCCTCTTAGGACTTCTTCTTTGATAAATTGCATACATACGAATCCACCTTTCAAGGTCTGTGTCTAAGAAATGCATCCTAAGATTCCCCATCAAACTTTAAAAAGTGTTGTTGTAAGGTGCCGTCGAGTCGGTCGCGACTCGTAGCGACCCTGTGTACAACAGAACGAAACACTGCCGGGTCCCGCACCATCCTCAGAATCGTTGTTATGCTTGAGCCCATTGTTGCAGCCACTGTGTTAATTCATCTCGTTGAGGGTCTACCTCTTCTTCGCTGACCCTCTACAAAAAGTATATTAAAAAAAAAGTAAAAAGTATAGTAAAACAATATATTTCAAAACTGTCTGCGTTCAGCAGAAAAATAGGTCACAAGAACAGAATAGAGACACCAGCAAAAATAGAACCAAAACGAAGGTGAATTTTAATATATACAAACCAAGGAGAAAGAATGAATTTGACTGTGGAAGAAGACATCGGGCCCTGCTCGTGACCGGCTGTGGTTCCAGACTGGCTGGCAAATAAGATCATGGAGAAAACAAGGTTACACCGGATTTGGGACCCTATGTGGACTTAATAGTCTCTACCAGATAACGTGGGGTAGAAAAATGAACTGATTCAGAGGGAGGAAAAAAAGGCTGACAATACAAGTACAAACATGGCACTCTGAAAAGTGTTGACTACTCCTAGTTCTCATTAATTAAAACCGCATTTTTTAAATTTATTCTCAAATTTGTCCGCTGGATAAATGGAACACCTTTCTCATTTAAAACTTTCTTATTTGTAATTTTATTGGTCTCAGAAAATCTGTATGGTTAGTGTGTGGTGGACGAGAGGGAGGGGGAGAATAAACATTTATGTAGGAAGTGGCTATCGGAATTTCCACAGGGCATCTGCCCCAGTGCAAAAGACGCATTTTATTGTTGATAGATTTAAGAAAAGAGTTGCTGTCGAGTCAGTTCAGACTCATGGCGACCCCACATGTATCAGAGTAGAACTGTGCTCCGCATGGTTTTCAATGGCTGATTTTTTGGAAGTAGATAGCTAGGCCTTTCTTCTGAGGCACCTGTGGATAGACTCAAACTTCCAACCTTTGGTTAGCAGCTGGGCACATTAACCGTTTGCACCACCCAGGGACTCCTGCTGATAGATTAATGAACATTCAAAAGCATTTGATGAGCTGTTTCTGCCTTTGACCACTCTTTTCAAGGAGGAAGACCGTCTGGAGAAAAGGGGTGAAAAACAAATGACCTGATATTTGTCCTTATTAACGACTTACTTTAACTCTAACCCCCAACTCTCCTACAAAAAGAAAAGTGAGTGAGGAAGAATATCTGTGAAGGGAATAGGCCCTGCTTAACTACCTATTTGCATGCTGTTGTTGGAGCCCTGGTGGCGCAGTGGTTAAAGCACTCGGATGCTAACTGAAAAGTCAGCCGTTCGAACCCAACAGCTGCCCAGCAGCAGAAAAATGTGACAGTCTGCTTCTGTAAAGATTACAGGCTCGGAAACCCTACGGGGCAGTTCTACTCTGTCCTATAGGGTTACGATGACTTGGAATTGAATTGATGGCAGTGGGTTTGAGTTTTTGATTGTTAGGTGCCATCAAGTCAATTTCGACTTACAGCAATCCCATTTGACAGAGTAGAACTGCCCTGCAGGGTTTTCTAAGCTGTAAACTCTACTGGAGCAGATTGCCAGGTCTTTCTTCCGAGGAGTCACTGGGTGGTTAACCATTGCGCTAACAAGCCTTCTCCTATTTGTATAACCAGTTATCTTTTTATTTATTTTTTCTTCTTTACTCTTCAGTTTTCTCTTCTATTCTTTCTTCTTTGTTAAGCTCTAAATTCCCATGCTGGTGTCCCCTGGACAAGCTGCCTCAAATACTAGTCTCACTTCATGCACTTCTAGAGTTGGCTCCAACTCATGGAGACCTTGTGTATAATAAAATAAAATATTACCCGGTCCTGGTTGTCAGATGGTTGGTATATTTGGGTCCATTGTTGTGGCTATTGTGTAGTGCTTTCCAACCTAGGGTGCTCATCTTCCATCCCTATATTGGACAAGATTCTACTGGGATCCATAGGGTTTTCATTGGCTAATTTTTGGAAGTAGATTGCCAGACATTTCTTCCTAGTCTTAATCTGGAAGCTCTGCTGAAACCTGTCCACCATGGGTGACGCTGCTGGTATTTAAAATATTGGTGGCACAGTTTCCAGCATGATAACAACACACAAGCCACCAGAGTACAAGAAACTAACAGACAAGTGGTGAATTTCATTCAGTGTTGTTGTTAGCTATCGAGTTGGCCTCCGACTCATGGCAACCCCATACACAACACAATCGAACTGTTGATGATCCAGATCACCAGGCCTTTCTTCCTAGTCCGTCCTAGTCTGGAAGCTCTGCTGAAACCTGTTCAGCATCACAGTAACATGCAAGCCTCCACTGACAGACAAGTGTTGGCTGCACTTGAGGAACACTGGCTGGGAATCGAACCCAGGCCTCCCACACAGAAGATGAAAATTCTACCACTGAGCCACCACTGCCCTCCTGTTACGCAATTGTGGTTGCTGTTAGTTGCTGTCAAGTCGATTCCGACTCATGGCGACCCGTGTGTGCAAAGTAGAACTGCTCCATAGGGTTTTCAAGGCTATGACTTTTCAGAAGCAGATCGGCAGGCCTGTCTTCTAAGGTGCTTCTGGGTGGGTTTGAACTGTCAACCTTTAAACTAGTAGTCAAGTGCTTAACCATTCTGGCCACCCAGGGACTCCTCTTCATGCAATAGGTGAAGGTAAGCACTACAGCTTCCACACACTCGGGCCCAAGTGTCCCTGCCCATGTCCAAGACAGCTGCCAGACCAGCACTAATGCTGTGGCTCTGTCGATATCACTGGATCGCAAATCAAGCATACAGAGCAAAACTTCAAAAAAATATTAACTACCAAAAACCTGACTTAGGTTTTAACTTCTCTGCGGTTTTTTAAACTTTTTATTATGAACATTTTCAAACTATCAGAAAAGTAGAAAGGATAGTACAATGTATACATACACTACCAACTAGATTTAATAATCAACATTTTGCCATCTACACGTACGTAATTTGAAGAACCATTTATCAGTTAGACATGTCCTGCCACTTCATCCCTGAATACCTCAGCATACAGCTCCAAAGTATTAGGACATTCTCTTACCTAGCCACAATATCATTATCACACTTAACATAATTAACATCAATTCCCTAAAATCACCTAATTCTCATTCCATATTCAAATTGTCCCAGTTATCTTCCAAATGTCTTTTATAGCTATTTATTTATTTTTTCCTAACCAGGATTTGATCAAAGATCCATGTTATGGATTGAATTATGTCCCCCCAAAATATGTGTTGTAAATCCTAGCCTCAATGCCTGTGGTTATAATCCCATTTGGGAATGGGTTGTCTTTATGTTAATGAGATAGACTTAATGTAGGGTGTATCTTGAGTTAATCTCTTTTGAGATATAAAAGAGATTAAACAAGCAAGCTAGCAAGCAGACATGGGGGAAGACTGATGCCAAGCCACATGGAGATCTCCAAGGAACCAGGAAACAAGCTGAAGAGCCAAGGATCTCCCCGCAAAGCCAACAGAAAGGGAAAGCCTTCCCCTAGAGCTGGCACCCTGAATTCGGACTTCTAGCCTCCTAAACTGTGAGAGAATAAATTTGTTAAAGCCACCCACGTGTGGTATTTCTGTTATAGCAGCACTAGACAACTAAGAGAATACCATATAGCCATTTGGTTTTTATGCCACTTAAGACTCTTTCAGGAGTCCCTGGATGGTGTGAATGTTTAAACACTCGACTACTAGCCGAAAGGTTGGTGGTTCGAACCCACCCAGAGGTTCTTTGTAAAACAGGCCTGGTGACTGCTTCTGAAAGGTCACAGCCTTGAAAACCCTATGGAGTACAGTTGTACTCTGCACCAATGGGGTCACCGAGAGTCAGACTATTGTAATAGAGAAAAGTTCTTCTCCACTCCTTTTTCATGACATTGACTTTTTGAGGCAATGAATCTGATTTCTAAAAATAAAATAAGTCAATTCACTAACATTCAAAAAATGTATTAACTGTCTAACAGGTCAGAAACTCCCGAAACTCACCTCTTTCTAGCCAGCATATTTGCTCCCGGTAGCCAAATCTAATGGGAATTAAAATAATCAAGATGTTGCCTGGTGACAATGGAATTTAGAGAAAAGGAAATAAATTCTACACTTCAAATATTTAAAGACACAGACCTCTGACAGCTTCGTGCACCCATCACCACAATAGAGAAGGATATTCCAGGCTCAAATCAGCCTAAAAGGGCACCTTCTCCCAGGGCCCTTTTTGGGTGAGCCCTGCCAATATTTTCTTTTGCAGCTCATCTTTTCTTTTTTTTTCTTCCAGAGACTCTCTTTTGAAAACTGCTTTTTCTCACATTTTGTGTAACTAAACTGTGTGTTCTTGTTTATACATTTTATTTAGATTCCATTTTGGTGTAAATTAGAAATTGTTTAAAAATCCTCAAGTGTAAGATTTGGAAAGATTTGTGGGTTTTGTTGTTGTTTGTTTGTCTCACTTCCAAAGAATGTGACTATGCAGTAATTGAGCTTTAGGGTCACAAATTTGCCCTCTCTCTTCCTTCTTTGTTTTCAATGGATAAAACATTATTAAAATATCACATTACAAGTCCCTGCAACTGATCAGAACACAAAGGAAAAAGGCCATAGAATCATAGCATTTTACAGTATGAGCTCCGTTTCACCTAAGGGACAACTGAGGCAGAGAGTAAGCAAGTGCCACAGCCAGCAAGTGGTAGAACAGGATTTGCATAGACTGGCTCTGGAGTCTTAACTTCTTTGCTACGCCGCCTCTTATTGGTGAGGTGCTTTGTCCAAAGCCCAAAGACCAGTGAGTGCGGGAACCTGAAATAGTATCCAGATATCCCCAGGCCCAGGCCAATAGGTTCTCAATAGTACTTGGGAATATTTAGCACTCCTATTTAGAATGCAAGAGGTTGTTATATCTTCTCCACTACTATTCTGGAAACTCTGGTGATTAAATGCCTTTCTTTTTCTATTTTCATAGACTTTGTAACTTCCTTTGTACCCACAAAAAAGAGAGGTCCCAACACCTTCTTGAAGATGCCCACACCAGATTCAAGGTTGTCCAATATTCTTTGGAAAAATTGACAGAGGGCTCTTTCCCTCATGTTAAAATGTGTTCCGCATACTCACAATCCCATTTTCCTAACGTCCTTGAAGACTGGGAGGTGGAATGGTTCCCATTTTACAGATGAATAAAGGAAAGAAAAATTATTGTGCCAGAACAGTCCCCCAAGCCCCAGTGACACAGAATGGGCAGTGGAACCCGGCCCAGATTCGACAGCCTGACCCTCCTTCCCTTCCCCAGAGGCAAAACTATTCATTTAGCCCTGGTCTCCGGGTGGTTTCTTGAAAATAATGTCTTTTTTTTTTTTTTTTCTTTATAAAGTACATTTCCACAGCCAGGTTTGTTTTGTTCTGTTAGTTGATAACTCTCTTCTCTGGCTACTCTACGTCTTTGCCTAACTCCCCCCAGTGCCAGCCATCTGTTGCTTTCCTACAAGTAATGAAGAGGGCTTGACTGCTTATCAGCATCTGTCTGGAACTTCAAGAGAGAAGCGGTTCTCAAAGATGGGCTCTGGTGGGGGTCCACAGAAAGTATGGTCCACGGTCAAGTGGCTTTGCCCAGATACAAGCAGTCACAACCTCAGCATGCACTTCTAAAACCAGAGTCAGCACAACTGATGATATGGACACATCTCCCCCAAAACAAAATTCAGTTCTTAAACGAACTGGAAATGTATTCTCTAAAGCAGACGTTTTTACAAAGTCATTTCGAGAAAAACAAAGTAACACTTTTATTTTTAAAATTTAACCAGCTGACACCATATTACCTTTAGGGTGAAAACAGCATCTACAAGCATTAAGGGAAAGGGAGGGGAAAAGGTTAGAGGTGCCACTTCAGTTTCTTGGCAATATTGAGGTCCAGGTATTCATCCAGAAAGCTGTTTGCAATGCCCAAGCTGCCTAGGACAGTCAATGCAGCCAAAATCCCCAGACTCAAGCGGAAACCAGAGATCCTGCAGACGAGGGAGAGAAGTGACAAACTGGAGTGTAATGATGAAGATGGCGAGTCCTAGCTAGGCTGCTCATTGTTGACACTGCCCTGAACTTGCATGTTTCTGCCATTTGAAAAGTTTGATTCACCACTTAAAGGGGATGTCCAGTCAGAGAGGCTAATTGGCTTCTTTGACCGTTCAAAGGATTATCAAGACTGAGCAGGATTATTTCCTTGGCAACTTTTTGGAAACAGTGCAAAATTTTTGCGAGGATTTATAGTGGTCAAGAAGTGCACATTCAGTGCACAATTTTATACTTGGCATTTTCCAGTCTCACTCCTAATTGTGTATGGCCTCAGGCAACATGGATTGCTTTTGCATCTATAACCATCAGTGTTGTGAATACTTCTCACTAATCCAGACTCCAAATGGGAAACTAATCCAGACCCCAGCCTGCTTTTTGCTAACTGCTCAATTGAGTTCTTCTTACCTGTTTTTAGCAGCTTCTGAATATCCACAGAAGTACTGGTGACGGGCATAAATGTACACCAGACCCAGAAAGGTTGCAAAAACTGTAGAAGAAAAAAAAAAAAAAAGACAAAAATACAGAATAATGGCAGTCTCTCAAAATGTGGTGTAAAGACTGAGAAAATATTCACAAAACATATATCTGACAAAAGACTTGTATCCAGAATGTATAGAGAATGTTTACAACTCAATAATAAAAGAAAAAACTCAATTTTTTAAAAATGGTCAAAATATTTGAATAGACACTTCATATAGGAAGATAAGCACATGAAAAAAATCTCAACATCATTAGTCATCAGCAAACTGCAACTTAAAACTTGACACCACTACAGACCCACCAGATTGGCTAAATTAAAAAAGACTGACAACACAAAATGTTGGTGAGGATATAGAGCAACTGGAATTCTAATACATTATTAGTGGGTATGCAATATGGTGCAGCTGCTTTGAGAACAAATCTGGTACTTTCTAATAAAACTAAATATACAGTTACCTTTTGACCCAGAAATTCCATTCCTATGTATATACCCAAGAGAAACGAAAGAACATGTCCCTAAAAAGACTTGTGTAAGAATGCTCATTGCAGCTTTACTCAAAACAACCAAAAACTGTAAACAGCCCAGAAGTCTATCAACAGAAGAGTAAATAACCAAATGGGATAGTCATACAATGGAATACTACTTAGCAATGAAAAAAAAACTACCGACATTATGCAACGACATGGTGAACCTCAAAAACATTTTTCTGAGGTTACACAAGAGTACATACTGTATGATTTCAATTATATGAATTTCTAGAATGGGAAAAACTAAAAGACAATGAAAAAATCATAACAATGTTTGTCTCTTATCTTTTTTTTTGAACACTTTGCTGTGGTTTGGGTGAAAGTTTACAGAGCAAATTGGTTTCCCATTCAACAATTTATACACATTTTGTTTCATGACATTAGTTGCAATCACCTCAATGTGACAACACTCTACTCACTTCCTCCCTGAGTTTCCCGTTTCCATTCACCCATCTTTCCTGCCCCCTCCTGCCTTCTGAACTTTGTTTTTGGGCAAATGCTGTCCTTTTGGTCTTGTATGGTTGATTGTTCTGAGCAGCACGTTCCTCATGGGTGTTATTCTTCACTTTACAGGCCTGTATCTGTTGTTTGCCTGGAAAGGAGTGGGTTCAGTTCCAGGTTTGAAGGATGCCTAAGGGCCTTAGTCTCTGGGGCTCCACCAGTCTCTATCAGACCAGTAAGTCTGGTCTTTTTTATGAATTTGAATTTTCTACATTTTTCTCCCATTCTGTCCAGGACCATCTACTGTGATCTTGCTCAGGGCAGTCGATTGTCTCTTGTCTTGAAGGGAGTAAGGACGGGGACTGACGGGGAGGGGCATGAGAGAACTTTCTGGGTGGTGATCATGTTCTATATCTTGATAGGATTTGGTCACACAGGTGTGTACACTTGTCAAAACTCATCAAATGGTACACTAAAGATTTGTGAATTTCACTATATGGAAATTTTATCTAAAAAATAAGAAATGTAAAATATGGTGTGATGTTCTGCCGTTCTGGCCAATGGAAAATATCAATGATCTTCCTACCTTAGAAACCCTTTTCCTTCCTCAACACCTCTTACAAATGCTGGAGTCTATCTGTGGGACTCTGATATTGCTGAGTAAGATTACATTCATTATTTTATTTGGTCACACACTCGTCTTATTTCTACTATATACCAGGTATAATTCTAAGTATTGAAAAGATAGAGAAGCTACCTGCATTTATAGAGTTTTCATTTTATCAGCAGACAGACAAGAAACAAAATAATTAGAAGAAAATTACAGACTTGAAAGTGCCATAAAGGAAATGAGAATTGGAGGAGGCTGCCTTTAGAAAGGGTCAGAGAAGGCCTCTCTGACGGGATGACGGTCAGGTTAGTGCCTAAAGGATGAGCACGAAGGGGTCAAGCCAAGAGCTGGAGAAGATGGATTACAGCCAACTGGTGTCTCAGGAAATCCGAGGATTCTCAGCATGCTGGTGGTTTTGAAACTCCCTATCTAACTAATTACTCCAATAAAGCCAATGAGAACTGTCCAGGGGCAGTTAAAAGTTAGGCAACTTACTCTGGAAGAGAAAGAATGAAAAGAAAATAATCGTGAGAGGATACCGAAGATATTCTTTCTTGACAGGCAGTTGGCCTAATTCAGCCCTTCACAATGAAATCCAGTGGGTCAGAAGGCAGAGCCTGAGTCTCATAATCAAAAAGGATTTTTCTGACTAGTTGTTAACGTGGTCTTACCTAACAAGGAACAACCCCTCTCATCCATGCCCTTAGAAACAAAAGTGTGAGTTGAAATAAAGTTAAGAAGTCTTTTCCTAACGAACATTTTATCTGAAATTCCTCAGTTGACAGTAAAAATTACAAGAAAGAGAGTAATGGTGGTGCCTTTGGAAGCCACTGGATTTTGCTTTTATTTAAATCATAGCAATCAAGTGGCAGATCCAAATAAGGCAATGAAAATTACCAGAAAGCAAAGGGGATAGAATTTCTCCAACTGAGGTAACTGGTGCTATGTCTGAGTCCCTGTTAAAGTGAAAGACAGGGCTTGGGTAAAGCCCTCAGCTTGTCGAGGATGCCCCAGTCAAACAGAAACTGGATGTTTGTAGAGTTGCTACATATAAACATTAGCATTATCTCCTTGGGAACATTTAAGAAAAGGCACATGAGTTGTTGGGACAAATACCTATATAGGCTCTGCTCTGTACTTGAAAGCAAGCAAATTTTTCCCTGTATTGGTTAAGGTCAAACTGGACAAATTTCTTAACCTCTCTGTACCTCTGTTTCCTCATCTATAAAGCAGGAATTAATGACAGAACTTACCCCATAGGAAGATTTTAAATTCTATAAATTATACACATAACATAATGTAAGTGTAAAACTTAAAACAGTACTTGTCATATAATAAGTGTACAATACATACTAGCTATAATTTTTTTAAATGTTTTGTTATGATTTTGGAGAAAATTTACATAGCAAATTAGGTTCTCATTTAACAATTTCTATCCATATTATTCAGTGACATTGGTTACACTTTTCACAATGCGACAGCATTCTCATTATTTCCATTCTGGTTATTCTCTTTCCATTAATCTTGCTTCCTTATTTCCCCTTACCGTCTCATCTCTGGTCTAGGGTAAATGGTGACTGTTAGGTCTCATTTAGATGATTGTTTAGAGGAGCACAGTACTCACGGGTGATGTTATTTATTTTAGGAGTCACTCTGTCTTTTGGCTGATAGATGACCACTGGGAGTAGGTTGAGTTTCAAGTTTAAAAGATATTCCAGGGCATTAGTTTCAGGGGTTCCTCTAGTCTCTACTGGTCCAGTAATTCTGGACTTTTTTTTAGGTATTTGAGTTTTATTCTACAGTTTTCTCCCATTCTATCTGGGACCATCTACAGGCATGCACTGCGTAACGTCCGTTCAGGCAACGTCTGACCACATATACGTCCATGGTCCTATAAGATTACAATAAAAAAAAAAAACAAAACAAACTCGTTGCTGTTGAGTCAATTCCAACTCATAGCAACCCTATAGGACAGGGTAGAACTGCCCCTTAGGGTTTCCAAGGAGCGGCTGGTGGATTTGAACTGCTGACCTTTTGGTTAGCAGCCAAGCTCTTAACCACTGCACCACCAGGGATCCTAAGGTTATAAGAGTTCAAAAATCCTGATTGGAGAATGGGATGTAGTGAACGCAACAGCTTTCCATACGCAACATGTGAATCTCATGTCTCTTGTATACAAAGTGATTGCACTGCCAGGTGTATAATGGCCCAGTACATATATAACCTATAATACATACAAATGTCTTGATGGTCATAATCCACACTATGCTACTACTGGCTTATGCATGTACTTAACTATACTTTCTATCTAAAAAGTTTACCATATAACCGTGTATACTTCCACTCATAGGCAGTAGCATCCAATCTCAAGCATTGCATGTCTCTAGAGTGTTGTAGCATTATCTCTGTTTAATTTTCTTTTGAAAATATATCTGTGAAGTTCATCAGGGCCCCCAAACGCAGTAAAACCAGTGCTAGTGATAGCAGCAGCAAGCGACAAAGGAGAAGTATCGATTTGGAAGTGAAACAAAAGGTTATTAAATACCATGAAAGTGGAAAATCAGTGAATGCTATTGCTAGTGACTTAGGTATGTTGCACTTGACAATCACAAGGACCCTCAAAAACAGAGACAAAATTCTCCAAGCTGTTAAAGGATCAGCTCCACTGAAAGCTACAAGACTAACAAAAATGTGAGAGAGACCTATACCAGATATGGAGAAACTGCTAAGGACATGGATTGAGGACCAAATACAAAACCAAATCCCTCTCAGAGCGCTGACGATCACTGCTAAAGCACGAAGCTTGTTTGAGATGCTTAAAGAAAAAACAGGACCAGACAACAGTATGGCATTCACAAACTATCCAAATCACATAACGTCCTATTTCACAGAACGCATTGTGGCTGTTGGAGCCATTGTGGTGCAGTGATTAAGAACTTGGCTGCTAACCAAAAGGTTGGCAGTTCGAGTCCACCAGCCTCTCCTTGAGAACCCTATGGGGCAAAACTACCCCGTCCTGTAGGGTCGCTATGAGTTGACTTGATGGCAACAGGCTTGATCTTTTTTTTTTTTTGGTTATTGTAGAAGTTAAGCCATGCATGACTATTCACTATATTGTGTCCCTGGTCAGAACTGTTGGTAGTGCTGGCCAGGCATCATCTAGTTCTTCTGGTCTTGAGGTAGGTGCGGCCATGGTTCACGTAGACCATTAGTCCTATAGACTAGTTTCTTCTTTGAGTCTTGGTTTCCTTCTTTCTCTTTTGCTCCAGGCACATAAAGACCAATAGTTGTATCTTAGATGCCCGTTTGCAATAGCTATAGTAATTAAGGTGAACTGTTAATTCAGTGTTCTATTCCTGCAGTTAAATTAGTATTAGACTCTCAGATGTGAAGACAAAGCACATGTCATTTTCATTCGAGTATCCAGCACACAGTTTGTTCCAAAGAAATTATATATATATATATATATATATATATATATATAATTAAATTGTAGTTAAACCAAAATTAGCATATCTGCAGCAGAGTCCCCTTTGATGGACACAGACATTGCCTATTTTGTTTAAAATAATTTCCAAGATCAGTAGATGTGTGCCTGTACATCTGTACCATAGTAGTTCTTTTTTTAAAATTTTTTTATTGATGTAATTAAATGAAGTTTACATTTCAAGTTAGTCTCCCATACAGAATTTTTTTTTTAACATACATTGTTATGAGACCCCCCAACCGCTCACCCCATTCTGCGACAGCACACTCCTCCCCTCCGCCCCTGATTCCCCATGAACATTCAACTAGCTCCTTACTCTCTCTGCCTTCCCCTCTAACCTCTAGACAGAAGCCGCCCTTTCGGTCTCTTATATCTACTTGTCTAAGAGGCACATTCTTCACGAGTATCACTTTATGTCCCACAGTCCAGTCCAATCCCTGTCTGAAGAGTTGGCCTCGGAAGTTGTTTTAGTTCTGGGGTGATGGAGAGACCAGGGGCCATGCCTTTCAGGGCGCCTCCAGTCTTAGTCAGACCATTAAGTCTGGTCTTACTAGTATTTGAGTTCTGCATCCCATCGTTCTACTGCTCCATCAGGGACCCTCTGTTGTGTT